ATATATTTTAATATTTCTAATATAAGACAATAAAATATTAGTACATAACATGTATAAATTGTATAATAGGTACTAAATTAAGTAATATTTTGATTTAATTGTCATAAGGTCARCTTAGATATTCTGTTAAATATAGCTATGGCCATTATTGCATTCATTGTATTTGTATGGGTACCAATTATTGATGAGGAAAAAATCAAATATACATCACATATGCACATGTATGAATGTGTAATTTTACGAGCTATACAATTTATAATGAGTCATGGTTTGAAACAATGCATATATTTAACAAAAAACGAAAAAAACGTGAATAATTCCTATATACCTACTATATGCAGATTAAAGTAGCAACCTTAGCATACACAGCGTTACCTGTGGCAGTTTAATCGTGTGACTCATTTCGGAACGTTTTCAAGAAAGGAGTTTGGTATCCTTATTATTCTAATGTATCGATACATCATAATTTAAAACATCGATTATTTTTTAACATCAATAATTATTGTAAAAATATCGATGGTTTTAAATTGCGGTGGTTATAGGAAAAAAATTGGTGTTCGCAGGAAAAATATCGATGTTTTACCTATTAAAAAAAATTCTAATTTAAGAATTTATTTAAATAATTAAAATAAATACGTKTTTGAAAAAAAAAAACATCGGACATTGGGTCAAAACATCGATGTATCAACATAAAAACTTCGATGTTGAGTATCGATATAGGTTAGGACAAAAACATCGATGTATTTGACCAACCTCTAAATTAATGACATTGAGTGCAAAAAAACTAGCATAGTGCATTGAGGTGAAACATAAAAAAGTCCACTCAGTACATATTAATCTTGCCTATATGGAATATACAACTATACAAGTATGCGCTGGTGCTTATAGTGTGGTGGAAAATATGAGACTCATAGATATATTATATAATATATAATTGTACTGTGACAATATATATATGTATAATAATACATTTGTGGGAAATCTGTATCTGCCAGTTGCCTATCAGAAGATTTCGTAGTACGAGAGGACCGAGAGCAACAGAGCATCATGGTCAAGATAGAACTATGGTAACTTTCTTTTTTTAATTTTTAGTTATTTAATTATTTTAAATCAAAATAAATGTTTAAAAATATGTATTATAGAATTTCAGCAGTGGAAATCTGAAATGGAACAAAAAACAATAGCCATGTACGTTTGTGATTGAGAGGCTTAGACATAAAACATTGGAAGTACTAAAAATATATTCTATTGCCATCGATCAAATAACTATTTAAAAAAAGGAAAATCAACTCATCAAATCTACAGGAAGTAACAAAATTGGTGAAGTTTATCAATCTTTAATAGAAGCCCTACAAGATAACAGTAATATAAGTGTCAAGTATTGGAAAACTCGTTGTGGACATGATGATGGGGTTGAAGAACTTGGTAGAATTAAATTTGACACTGCAGTATCAAGAATTCAAATTGCAAGTAAATACTTAATTCTTGTATTTTCTTAATATCTTAATGTAGCGATTACACACGTTTTTTTCCAATACGTAATTATTTCGGTAGTGTCAGAATAAGTGTCCTTAATGGTGTTGTTTTTTATAGCTATATCGACCATATAAACATTGAATAAATCAGGAGATGTGTCAATGTCTCATCAGGGTTAACCTGTCTTATGAGGATGTCATTGTATTGTTTGTTTACTCTTCTTAGTCCATGCACAATATAGACAAAACGCATTTAAAAATGAAGATATAAGAAATAAAGGTGTACTTTAAATTTATTACTTTCAGAAAATAAAAAAGATAATCTTCTAAAAAATAAAATGCAGTTTTTGAAATAGTGACTTATTCATTAGTCAACCTTATAACAAAAGTTTTCATAAAAATAATAATATTAATGCGGCTCAAGACGCTATAAACGCAGAATTAAACTTAGATCAGCACAATCTTGGCAAAACCTCTGGTCAGTACAAAAAACTAAGCTTAATGAAATAAAGCAATCGACCCAACATTGGCCGAATAATCTCAAAAACTGAAAAATAGAAACCAGCATCAATTGACTCCGTATAGGGCACACCAGACTTACTCATGGATTCCCGAAGGCACGTGAGGAACTTCCCATATGCTCGTCCTATGGTGTCAACCTAACAATTAAACACATCATAATCGAGTGTAACACATACCGCGACGCAAGAGACCGAAACCAACTATCGGAAGATCTATTTGAATGCCTTGGACCCAACCTTCCAGTCTCCAGCATAATCGCATTCCTTCGACAAACCAGACTGTTCAAACTAATTTTAGTTTCCTTTTCATTGTATAATAAACTAAAACTATAATTGTTACCATAATTTACACCTTATAATACATAACATATTGTAATATATATATATATTATATATTGCCCAATGGTCCTGATGCCGAGATATCTTTATAATAATAATAGAAAAAATATATATTAATGAGAACATATGAATACAAATATTATCACCAAAAATAATGGTCGAATCACAAAAAAATAAATTGTTAGTTGTTAATAATATAATATCATATTGCAAATGTTCTACTATCTTAAGAATTATTTGTTTCAACTTATTTTGTTTT